GGGGTAGAGAGTGGTGGGAGTGCTGTAGGACAGGGAAGGCCTCTCTAGAAAAAGGCATCTGAGCTGAGCTATAATATAAGCAATGAGGGAGCTTTGGGAAGACCTAGAAGAATGTTCCAAGCAGAAGTCACAGCAAGTGCGAGAGCTCTGGGACAGAAATAAGCTTTGTTTGAGGCCAGTGAATAGAAGTTACAGTGTACAGTACAGACCAGGCACTGTATCTGAGCGGTACCAGGCATAGAGGAAGAGGTTTGAGCTGAGGTCAAAGAAATAGGCCTCCCTGGGAAAGGAGACATGCTCTGCTGTATGAGAAATGGACAGTAGGGGGAGTCCGTTGACAGGATATGATTTGTGAGGAAAAGAGCCTTCCCCCACGTCCCCCCACTACATTTTTGGCCCAAGTACGGTAATTTGATGAATGCTAGTGCCTTTAGCTGTGGCATCTTGCCTGTGGAATGCTCGAATGAGAGAGCTATTAAATTCTGTTTCTCCTAGATTTGTGGTCGGCAAACTGCAGCTTGAGAGCCACATGCAGCTCTTTGGCCCCCTGAGTGTGGCTCTTACACAAAATACCACGGCTTGGGGGAGGCTATTCTGAACAAGTGGCATTAGAAGAAGTTTAAAAAAATTGGCTCTCAAAATTTCAATCGTACTATTGATATTTGGCTCTGTTATCTAGTGAGTTTGCCGACCATTGTCCTAGATTATACTGTATTATGGAGCCAGGAATGACTGCCACGATTTTCTCCTGCTTTGTGATAATGTGAACAAAATAGGGAATGGTGGCAGCTTTGGGGCTCCCCAATCTTTGTCACAGTTCTTATAATAGTGGGTTTTCCCAGGAAGTTCAAGGAAGAGTATAACTGTTAAGAAGCTTATACACTATCCCCTAAAATGGCCTGAATATCAACCTATAGATATACACTGAGTGGCCAGATTATTATGATCTCTGAACACATAATAATCTGGCCACTCAGTGTATCTTGAGCACCCCATTTATTTGATATCAAAGATACTATAAATCGTGCACCTGATCAGTGTTCCCCTTTGCACTGGCTGATAGAAAGCTCAGGAAAAATAGGTGGTTGATCTCCAGCAAAAGTCTAGAATACTTCTGGTACCCATTTGAGATACAAATACACTGAGTGGCCGAAATCGGTTTGGTTCAGTGGTAGAGCATCGGTCTGCAGACTGAAAGGTCCCGGGTTCGATTCCGGTCAGGGGCATATACGTTGGTTGATGTTTCTCTCTCATCAACGTTTCTAGCTCCCTATCTCTCTCCCTTCCTCTCTGTAAAAAATCAATAAAATATATATTTTTTAAAAACCACTGAGTGGCCATATTATTATGTATTCAGAGATCATAATAATCTGCCCACTCAATGTATATTTATCAGTCAGCAGAACTGTTACTAGCATTTTTTCCTTACAAGTGTCTAAAGAGAATATTAATTTGATAACAGGCTATTATTGGTAGAATGTTGCTTTGGTCCATGTTTTTCCAATTACAACAAATACATATTTTTAAAACTGGATTTGTGGGGGGGTTTTGTGGGGTTTTGTTTGTTTGTTTGTTTTTAGACTGTCGGGAGTACAGTGAGGTTCCCAGATCCTAAAAATGCTCTATGTAACTATCTAAATATCCTTAAACAAAGTATTTCTCTTGGCCCCTTCCATGCCTATCCTTAACTCTCCACATACTCAATATATCCTAACGTTCCATTTCATCTTACAAGCCACTGAAATAGTGAATTAAGATGGTAAGTCAGGTGAGACCTTTCAATTCACACCTTTGTCTTCTATAAAGAATGGTGTTGACTGGCCACATCCACCTCCTCCCTATCCCTTCTCTCCATTAAAGTCACTTATTTTGAAAAGGAAAAAAAAAAAATAAGACTACAGGGGGTGGGGTCCATGCCAAGGTAATTTAATCAAAATTAAAGGCACTCATGGGAACATATGAGTAAAATATAGTATATTGTATGATGTCCATACAATGTGTGTTACTAATAAAAACATTTTATATAGTGCTTTTCATATAAAATTAGAGATTATATACAACAATCTAGAACAAAATACCTTTTGTTCTGTGTAGCTACTTTAGAGATATTCATTTTACTCTAGTTTAAAAAATATTCTACAGCCAAAACCGGTTTGGCTCAGTGGATAGAGCATCAGTCTGCGGACTGAAAGGTCCCAGGTTCGATTCCAATCAAGGGCATGTACATTGGTTGCGGGCACATCTCCGGTAGGGGGTGTGCAGGAGGCAGCTGGTCAATGATTCTCTCTCATCGATGTTTCTAGCTATCCTCTCCCTTACTCTCTGTGAAAAATCAATAAAATATATTTTAAAAGAAGTATTAAATATAGTTAAAAAACTGAAAATATTCTACAGTTCTCTTGCCTGCATTTGACACAGAAGTTTAGCATTTAATGGCTTCGTACAAATAGAAACTGAAGCTTAGAAGAAACTAGGATTCCCTGTGCTTTTGTTAAATTAAAAGCATTCATAATTATTTCTCTGAAGAGCTGGTCATTAATTAAGGTTTCTAAAGTGATTAGGGAGTTTCCTAAGGAAATATACGAGGTCTCACAAGCCCTATTTGAAGAAACCTAGATTTGAAGAAATTAGAAATGCCAGTTAAACGCGAATCTAGGTAATTTAAAATATTTAGTCAATTCTGATCATTGTGGAAAGTAAAAGGAAAGAGAATCAGGCTCACCAATTTGATGAACACACTGGTTTGCAATGTTTTTTTTAAACAATGGCTTTTTAAACCATCCCTTTTAAAAAACTTTTGTTTTTAGTTATCCTGTTTATGTTCTTCCAGATAAACTTTAGCATCTATTATGCTGCAGGTACCAATTTATTTTTGATCTTTATAGACTTGCTGTTTGATAAAGGTATGGAGCTCTGATTGCTTCTTAAATGAAGAACTTCCTCAGGATATCTAAATAAATTCTCTTGGTTGGAAACCTGAAGTCAAAACTCAAGAAAAGAGAACCAAATTCTACTCAGTTCCTGAAGGGCTCCGGCCTCGCTAGCGTGGTCATGAAGGGCCTTAGGTCAAAACTCCAAGGCATAATTCAGGGTCTGCTTCCAAGCTCTCTCTCTCCAATACATAAGTCTACAGTAATGCAGATTTGGGCTTAACCCCTATAATCTTCGGGCTAGGAGCTGTCCAAAAGAATTTTCTGCTATGATGGAAATGTCCCATTCTACCATGTCGCCAGCCACTTGTAAATTACTGGGCATATGGCTAGTGCACTTAAGGTACTGAATATTTACATTTTCATGCAATTTAAATGCCCATAGCCACAGATGACTTCTTATTGGCCACCACACTAACCGTTACGGCGGGATTGCCTATAATTTGCATATACGCCCTTAGATCTCAGTTTCAATAGTTCATTATTACTGCTAAAATCAAAACACATTTGACTCTGCCGAACACTATACCCGGGCAGGGAGGACAGTCCAGGTAACACAGTTTCTATTCTAGGCTTACAATGTACGGAAAGGCCCGTTTTTAACCCAGAGAGGAGCCAGAGGAAGGCTCTCCGGAGAGACTGGCCCCTCGTGTTCCACAGTCGACAGGAGCGGGGGAGGCAGACTCAGCGCCGGCGCGGGCGGAGAGCCGCTTCTCGGTGTTATGGACTGAAAAATTCCCAAGCTGTGCACCCTACATTCCCCAAGGCCAGCACAGCAGCCGCTGCCCAGCTCGTTAAAACAAGATCCTTAAAAGCAGGATGTGCTGACCACTATCTGATACAAGAGGGGTAAGGCCAGGTGGCGGGAAGATGAATTGTTAAATGTAAAAAATCAATTAGGAATTGCTGATGGCTAAAGGCAGATATCCGCTTCTGTACATGTAGCTTGCTTGCTTGCTAAGGGTGAGAAGCCTATAGAAGCAAAAGGCTTCTCGAGCTTGGGCTGCAGTCCGGTCCGTCTTCCCTGCACGCGCCGGCTGCAGACCCTGTAAACGCGCTTTCCTAAACATTTGTGATCTCTGTCCGAGTGAGGTGTCTCCTGGGTTACAGCATCGGGAGGTGCCGCAGGGCTGGGGAGCAGGTGAGTCCTTTCCCGGGGCCCCGGCTCTCGAAGGCGGGAAGAGGCGGCCGCGGACCCCGGCGAAGGCCGCGTCCGCGCCGCAAGGAAGTCCTCCCCGCTGCCCACTGGAGCTGGGGTGGCCGCGGCGTCCTCCTCGTTGTAGTAACCGCCCTCCGACGTGAAGAGTTAAACCGGGGCTTCGGCGGCTTGGGGAAGGGGGAAGGGGACAAGTCCAGGACGACTCCTGCCGCAGTGGGCAGCGCACCGGAGCGGCCTCGCGGGGCGGCGGGGCCAGGGCTCTCCGCCAGGCGACCCCAGGGGGACGGGCATTCGCGGCTCCGCGTTCGCTCCGGCCGGGTCACAAGGTGGCCGCGGCGTGGCCGGGCCTCCGAGCAGGACCTCGGGCAGGCGTGCGGTGCAGCCGGCAGCGGAGGAGTCAGCCGGGGGCGCGGGCTGAGGAGGAGGGAGACCGCGGCCGGAAGCCGGAGAGGAAGGAAGCGCCGGTGCGCAGGGCGCGAGCCTCCGGGGGCAGGGGGGCCCGAGGCGGGGGCAGCGCTCGCCGAGCGGCCACGCTCCGGGCTCGGCTCGGCGCGGCGGCGGCGGCGGCGGCGGCGCGCGCGGGCCGCTGGGAAGTTGGAGAGCAGCCGCGGGAGCGCGCGTGCGCACGCGCGGGCCGGGCCGCCGGGCTAAACCGCGGTCGCCGGCGCTCGCGACTCGGCCGGCTCCTCTGGAAGGAGCGGCCAGTGGGCCGGCGTCCTGTCGGCGGGGTCGGCGGGGTGCGAGGCTGACCTGCAGAGCGGCCACTTCCTTCTGGTGCCTGGGCCGCCCCGAAGGAACCTGGGCTGCGGCGCGGCGCGGCGGGCTGACCGGCCCCTGGAGCCGAGACCCCGGGACGCGGGCGGAGGCGCCCTCCGGGGGGCTCCCGGCGCCGGGCGGAGGCTGAGGGGACCATGTCCGAGGGGAACTCCCGCCTCTCCACCACCGAACGCGTCATCAAAGGTACCTGGCGGGCCGGGCCTTCCTCCGGGACCCGCTGGGAGAGGCCCCGGGCCGGGCGGCGGTTCGGGGTCGGAGGGAGGGAGCGGCGGAGGGGGAGCGGAGGGCGGCGGCGGCGGCCCGGGCGGAGCACCGGGAGGGGGTGTGGGAGCCGGAGGCCGGGATCCCCGCGGGGCTGCCCGCTGGGGCCTCCGGCGGTGTCCGCTGCACCTAGACGGGGAGCTAGCGGGACTTGCAGGTGGGGTGGGGATTTCTTCTCCCATCCACCCAAAAGGGCCTGGATCCCATCTTTTTAAAAAGAGACTATTCCTCCGTTTTAGCCTGTGATCCGGGGAAGCCCATCTAGGGTGCTGTGCGGAGGGGGTTCAGCAGATTCTTCCAGGTCAGGTCTTTCGGCCGCTCCCCTTCTTTAGGAGCAAGTCAGCTCGCCCCTTCTCCCTCCCTTTTTAGGACACAAATCTTGTACCTTGTGCCCTCTTTGTCCCGATCACCACAAGTCTCTGCTGCTAGGAAAAGAAACGGTATGGTGAAATAAAGACAGACAAAGCCATCATCTTAGGATGCTTGAAGAGGTTCACAGACCTCTTGTCATGATGTTGGTGTTTTATGTTGCTTTGGACCGTAGAGATATGGAGAATGATGTTCTCTGATTCAGATCTCCAACAGAAACGAAAGTGTGCCTTACGGGTACTTGTAAGGTGGCACGTTGCAGCTGTCTCTGCCCTGAAACTGAGAATTCTGGTTTAAACATACCAGTGTGGGCTTCCTTTGTTCAGCCTGGAGACTTAGGTGCAACACTTCTCTCTCTGGGTTTTAACAATCCGTTTGAGAACCCTATTTTGTAGGAAGGGAGGATACCTAGACCAGCTGTGTGAGAGAGGCCTCTGGATGAAGGGGTTAGCTGTAAATGGGGAAAACTATTACAATACTTTTATTTTTTTCATTTTGGTAATTAGAAGGAGAAAGCAAGCCAAGATTAAAAGCAGTACTTTTTCTTTTTCTTTTTTAAGTGGAAAAGCCTATGGAATGGTTAATGAAGGGGGGGGATTTTAGTGTTGAACTAGATATTTTCCCCTCTAAAAACATTAAGCATCAGAAATGTTGTCTACACTATGTAAGTTTAGTGTGTAACTTAGTTTTCCCTCCTAAAGGGTCAGCATTGTGTTGATCACAGATGTTGTTATTTATACTGTATAATACTTAGTAAATATAATGGTATTTTTGAGATTATTTACTCATCACTTGTCTGGTATCATTGGGGATGTAAATGAATTGTTCATGTAACCGACAGTCCTTTAGCTGCTAAATTATTTTGGCCATTTTGATTTCAGTTTTTATAACATGTAATGCATAAAGAGAGTATATAACTGTCTCTTAAAATCAGAATATACTAAACATAGGCATTTTTGATAAATCAAGGTCATCATTATGTGCGTGAATTTCCGTCCTGTCTGTTAATATGGCCGGTGCATTCTGCTGTATAAGGGTGTTGGTAGTTTCCTCCTATGCTAAACGACTCATTGATATACCAATTTAGTGCTTTTGTCTGTTTTCTGTTTATCTAGTCCAGTACTGTTCTGTCAAAATATGCCCTTTTAATCTGCCACTTCTAAACTGAAGTAGTTGGGAAAACAAGTAAATCAGAATTGTGTAGCAAGTCAGAATAAATGGGATGTGACATAAGTCATAAAGGAAATTTTAAAATGAACCATCCATACCCTTAAATGTAGAAGTAAAGTAAAATAAATTCTGTTAAAATGCAGGTGCACCCTAGCTAGTTTGGCTCAGTGGATAGAACATTGGACTGTGGACGATTCTGGTCAAGGGCACATGCTCGGGTTGCCAGCTCGATCCCCAGTAGGGGGTGTGCAGGAGGCAGCCGATCAATGATCCTCTTTCATCGTTGATGTTTCTATCTCTCTCTCTCCCTCTCCCTTCCTACTTGAAATCAGTAAAAATATATATATATATTTTTTTTAATTAATTAATTTATTTTTTTAATGCAGGTGCCAGTTAGGCAGGCTCACAGTTAAGTGAACACCCTTATAGTCTGTATGATTCAAATTTGTTTTTTTGGTGAAATTATAAATTACTACCTGTTGTTTACTTTACAAGATTATTCTTAAATGAATGAAACAAATTATTTCAGGCCCTTACAATGTGTGGATTTAATTTGTCTATAAAAACATCAGCATAAGAACTTAGTCACAGAACTTTGGTTTCTTGGGGACTTACGTTGCCTTCCCCCCCCCCCCGCCCCCCCCTGGTTTTCCAGAGTTTGAAATATTCTTGCTCTAAGACAGTAAGGAGTTCATATATTAGGTCCATTGTGTTACACAGGGCACTAAATCCTGATCTTGTCTGGCCATGGTTGTCTACATTTATTCACAGCTAGAAATCTTTTTCTGAGGTGAGACCACACCCCAGTTGTTTTTGGTTCTGTCATTTCCTGTTAACTCAAAAGCCTACTTGTTTTGTTTGAGCAAATTTTAGAGAAGAGTGGGTGGAAGGGAGTGATTTGTATGTGTCCTTTAAATAATAACCACAATGGTGGTCAGAAAACCTAGCTTTTACTGTTGTCTCCAGAGCTTACTTGCGACCTTGTTTTTTGTTTCTTTTTAAAAATATATACTTTTACTGATTTCAGAGAGAAAAGGAGGGGGAGAGAAAGATAGAAATATCAATGATGAGAAAGAACCATTGATTGGCTGCCTCCTGCACGCCCCCTTCTGGGGATGGAGCCCACAACGCAGACCTGTGCCCTGACAGGGAATGGAATCGACCTCCTGGTTCACTGAGCTAAGCCACCTGGGCTGTTCGTTTTTTAACCTTACCTTTTTACTTCAGCTCCCCTTGCTTCAGTAATGTCTTCTGCAAAAGAGGGTTAATAATGCTCTCTTTGTCAGGCATCTGAGCCATGTGAAAAGCTTAAGACAAGTTAGTATTATGAAACATGATATATAGTTTGATAAATCACATAAGTGGTTAGTAGAGAAATTACTAACATTTGAAAAATACTAGAACTAGAACATACATAAATTAGAAAACTGTTCCCAGTCCCGGAAATACGCGTTCTACAATGTAAAGGATATCTGGACGGAATCCCACAGAGTAACGATGTAAATTGGCCAGTACAGTTCTATCTGGTACCGCCTTGGCAGCCGGTTTCTTCTCTAGCACTTGAAGATGTGTATTTTATGTTTAAAAATATAACAGTTCTTACTGGGCCAATGTGACTTAGTGATTGAGTGTCGACCTTATGAACCCGGCAGTCATGGGTCTATTCTGGTTAAGGCACTTGCCTGGGTTGTGGGCTCAGTCCCAGTGGGGAGTGTGTGTGTGGGGAAAGTAGGAGGGAGAGCCAATAGGTGATTCTCATCATTGATGTTTCTCTCCCTCTTTCTCGCTCTTTCTCCCTCTTCCTCTCTGAAATAATAAAAATATATTTTAAAATATATACCGTATATAGCAATTCCTATTATTTCACTCACTCATTAAATGTTTATAGAGAGTCATTTCCAATATATGTAAATAAGTAGATACTTATTCGTTCTTTGTTTTAAAAGTAACATTTATGTGAGCATCTAGAACAGTCCTTATGTACTGGGGCATCACTATTGATATCTGGAGCAGAAAACTAGAATCTCAAATAATTGAGCTGTGGCCCTGGCTGGTTTGGCTCAGAGGATAGAGTGTCAGCCTGTGAACTGAAGGGTCCCGAGTTTGATTCCATTCAAGGACTCATGCCCAGGTTGAAGGCTCGATCCTCATTGGGGGTGTGCAGGAGGATCAGTAATTCTCTCTTTCCCTCCTCCTTCCTCTCTGAAACCAATAAAAATATATTTAAAAAAAATAATTGAACTGTGAAAATCTTTCAACTTAATCATTTTCTCTCTTTTTTCTGGTTTCCAAGTTTATTTTCCTATATAAAGAAATTTATTTTCTTTGACAGTGATTTTTTAAAATAAAAACAGTTTATTCCTCTTGGATGAATCTTTTTAGAAACAAAATTTAGGAATTACATGACAGACACAGAGACATTGTTTAAGTTGTTATTTGGTGGTCAAATGGGGTTTAACAGAAAAGTCAGGCTTCTTTTTAGTAAGGTGCTGATACAGTTCTTTCATTCTCTTGGAATTCAACTTCACAGAATGTAATCATTTGTAGCACATATAGGAGGCTACTAGTTTTTTTTAATATTCTGACACTGGGAATAGTGTGACTAAGGTTTTTGTGTTTTTTAAAAATATTTTAAGCCCTGGCCAGTGTGGCTTCCCATGCATTGAGAAGTTGCCGATTCGATTTCCAGTCAGGGCACATGCCTGGGTGGTGGGCTCGATCCCAGATCCGGGCATGCAGGAGGCAGCCAATTGATATTTCTCTCTCATCAATGTTTCCTTTTCTCCCCCTCTCTCTTCCTCTCTCTTTAAAATCAACTTTAGAAAATGTAAAAATTTTTACTAAGAGTAATGTGGATAAAAATTGCTATTACCCCATTTCAGTCTCTGGTTATCTATACCTTATTCTTATCCCCTCTCCTCTTTCATGTCATGAGAATGGATTTATCAAAGCTTAGCCCTGCTAATTATAAAATTGGAAAGGTAGAATGGGAAGAAAACAGAGACCATATTTCTTCCCTCCAGAAACAATTGCTCTCTCTCTTTAAAAAAAATATTTTTTTATTGATTTCAGAGAGGAAGGAAGATGGAGAGAGAGACAGAAACATCAGTGATGAGAGAGAATCACCGATTGGCTGCCTCCTGCACATCCCCCACTGGGGATCGAGCCTGCAACCCGGGCATGTGCCCTTTGACTGGAACAAACCTGGGCCCCTTCAGTCCACAGGCCAGTGCTCTATCCACTGAGCCAAACTGGCTAGGGCCAGAAACAATTGCTCTTCATACGTTTGTTGTATTTCCATGTGCTGGTGTATTTTTTGTTTTTGTTTTGTTTTTTAATTTTTTTTATTAAATTATTATCTTGCTGGTATATTTTGAATTCAA